GGGAGACAGGTGGGGGGATCGAGAGAGTCAAACGGGAGAGACGAGCGAAGTAATCATTCCACCCGTCCCTCCCGGTAGATTTTTAACGTTTAACCCTTCTGATCCCGTTTGGCCTTCTTAATCCATATGCCTGTCTCTCCCATTTGGAAAATCGCTACCGTTTCACTCGTCCCCCCCGCCTGACTGAATGCTAATGGGTCAAATGGGAGAGACAGGTGGAGGGTGAAATTTTATTAAGGGTTAACCGGGAGAGACGAGCCGTCACCACCAGAATCAAACGTCCTTAAGGATCTTATGGGAGACGTGAGTGAACTCATCACTCCGCTCGTCTCTCCCGTTTGACCCCGCCGTCTGGCTCTACCGTTTGACCCTCAACCAACAACCTTCGCCACCGTCCGCCGGCCGCGCTATGACGCACCTCTTCCACTCCCTCGCAGTCTAACCCCTCATCCTCCCTCTCTCAGCATCTCCACCGTCGAACAAATTCAACTATTTTCCCTCACAATCGGAATTCTGGAAAAGTTCTCACAGCGCCAAAGTTGCTCATCTACCCAAAACAAACCCCCCATTCGCTATATATTTTTCCTCATCCTCATCGGTTTGTCGAGATGATCCCAATATAAAATGTCTTTATCTTGTGTCTTTGAGGAGCTTAACTGCTCGTCCCTTTGAGTTGTAAAATCAAGCTATGGATTCGCTACTTCAACAGCTACTTCATCGGCTCACGAAACTAACACCCGCTAATCTTGAAGTTGTAATCGGGATCATCCACGCCGAGGAGTTATGTATTTCCCTCGGTTTTGGATTGGCGTTTCAGGGGGGGAAAATTCTGATTCCCCCGTGGATATCAGCCAAACGTTTGTATAAGGGTTGCGAGGGCTTGTGTATACTCAGGTGAAAGTTAGTTCGCGCAGAAGGCGGGCCGGATGCTTGTACAAGATGACAAGTGGCCGGGGGTTACCAATATGGTGCTTGTTTTATGCATGAATGCAGATGATTAATCGCTGATTTCACTTCATGATTGAGGGTATTCAACAACTTTACGTGGGAAATAGTGATTTTGTTCACCCAAAACATTGATATTTTCTCGGAAATCGGGAGAGCAATTCAATGGGATTGACGGGTGATCAATTTTTACGAAACAAATCGTAGAATTTACGTGGCCATTCGTACAATTTCAGTTCCAAATCGCACTTTTTATTGAATTTTCCTTTGCTCGCCGGTTACGTTTCGAAACGTAATTTTTGCGTTTTTTTTAATGGTAATTTTGATTGAATTTTTCTCTCCGTGTAGATCAGGTAATCAATCATCACCAGAGGATGGGAAATTACCCGTGGAATGCAGATGTTTCGCAATCTTCACTAGTTGAATTTCTCCTCTTAATGGCAAAACAAATCCCCCATTCCTCTTCTCTCTTAATAACTTCTAAATTACGAGCATCTTCTGTATCCACTGCGACACTTGGATCCCCACACAGCGGAATCAACGATCATTAACAGCGTCAGAATGGCGTCAAGAAACATCAAACATAAAATTATATGATTCATCCGTCCCTCACCATTTTCCGAGATACTAGAGTTCTTATGATTCCAAGAATAAACCTTGACGACTGGAAATGACCTGGAAACGTTAAATAAATGTTTGCGATGCGTCCCCCAGGCGGTTCAGAGCTGAAAGGAATTTTATAAAAATAAATTCGACATCTCGTATTTTCCATTCGTTTATTGACATTTAAGATTCATTACAATCTCAATTATTTCAGTTCAATGATTCAATGTATTTATTCAATTTATCTTGATTTACTCAACACTCAAATATACATAAAAAATTAAAATTTCGTTACAGTCCCATTGTCTTAGGTCGACGCTTATTAATACTTGTTACAGGACGATTAAGGTTATATCCATGGCTTCAGTAATTGTAGATGAATTTAATTATTAATCAGTTAAACATCCACATGTCAAATGCTGAATTTATTACAGTAGATCTTTGGTAATATTTCATAAATAAACTAGCTAAAATTCTTATCAATTTAACTATATACATGAAGATGAAATTTTAATAATGATTTGGTAAGTAGTATTTTTTTAATGAAGTGAAATCGTCGCCGTGTAGTCAAAGGGGCATACGTCTCGTGTCAATGGTTTTTCGACTTATTCCTCATTGGTTCCAGTCCTCTGAGGCAGCAAATTTAATTCATGATTCATTTAATTTTGAGATTTTCAATGATGATTGTTACAATTACAGCGAGCTGTAGCATGCGTTCGGTCTCGTCAGTAAAAATTACGAAACTCACAATTCATAAGAAATTGAAAGTAAAGGGGCGTATGTCCTGGAGATACGCCCCTTTTGTTCTCATTATTTGGAGATACGTCCATTTGTCATTAGAAAAATTAACTGGTGAAAAAGGTTGGAAAAAGTTGATAAATTCAATTTCACGATTAAAAACAACATACGCCCCTTTGGCTATACGGCGACGAAATCATTATCAAAACGGCGTATCTTCGCTTTTACGCCCTTTTTCATTCTGATGTGGACTTACGTCCTTTTTATACAATTGGTTTCGTTGAGAATTTTGGATTTTGTAAAAAAAAGTCAGGATTAAATGAAGGAAATTCTTCTTCAACTTTCCGAAACTTCTTTTTCTTTACCAGAACCTCTCGGAATGGATCTAGATATGCATATACACAGGGCATCCTCAAGTCTCACTCGACGACGGAATGCCAATCTTGTTGAAGCGGAATTCCATAATTAAATAGAAGCCAAATTATTGGTGTTTCGTGTCTCGCATGTACTGAGTCAATCTCGGAGTGGCTACTAAATGCAAATTCACTCAAATGCTGTACGTAACTGGCATTCCGAGTGAAGATTCAACGTCAGTTTGCGTAATAGTGCTATTTTGGGTCGATTTGGTTTAATGGAATTGAGAAATTGTGAGTCTTTTGGTGGATGAAGTCTTCTGAAGTTGAGGAGATTATATTCTCGAGGGTTTTTTACCCACGACAACAGCCCAGCGGATGAGTATATCCTTTTGAAGAAAGCAAAACCTCATTTTCCGACGCTTAGAAAGGAGATGACTCAATCAAAAATGGCTTGAAAATGTGAATATTTGGGCTAAACATAAATAAAAAGAACTTATGAAGGTTTTTACGAAGCCGGTTTCATGATTAATGATTCCAGTCTCTCAAAACTTACAATAAAAAAATTTGAATCTGCGACGTAAAAATATTAGGACCAAATTCCCTAGCGATCAAAAACTGAAGTGGATTGGTAGCACTGAATTTTTTTGAAAATGTGAATATTGGGGCTAAACATGGATAAAAAGAACTTGCCAAAGTTTTTACGAAGCCGCATTCATGATTAATGATTCCAGTCTCTCAAAATCAGTCAATTTTTTAATCAGTCAATTGACAACTTTTTCAGCTGCAAATCGTCACATCTCATTTCGAAGAAAATTTTCTGTGCCTAAACTCATCGATGAGATTCAAGTAGGGAAAACGAAAATTGCGAGCTTCCGTGAATCATTCAGGTCTTGTATCTCTTGACAAGCGGTTGGGTCTCAAGCAATGAAGGATTTCAATTAAATTCGCTCGAGGATATCGCGAGATTTTATGAACCCAACGAAATCGTACCTGTTGCATGTGCCTATATACTGGAATCACGAAATCTGAACGTATATTTTTATAGGAGGGTGGAGGATTTCCATAATATGGCCAGATTGAAGTGGAAATTACGTGATCAGTAGTTACACTCCCTTCAAATTACTGATATCCTTAAAAAATATAAAAATGTTCACTTTTTGAAGCAGAAAAAAGAGCGCAATTTCTTATGATTTTGCAGATACGCCCCTTTCACTCCCCGACAGTGGCACACTCTTGTCCATTAATCATTGAAATATTCAATCATTACAGATATGAGGGGTTGTTATCTGTTCAGATCGATAGAAACTCATCCATTCTTGCTTAGAACAAACATAGGGGCCAACCCTTGCGGGAAAATACACCTGTCCCTTTCCCCCTTCGAATACATGAAAAATACCCAAAATTGCTAGCAGATTCTCCGGGAATGTGACAGGAAGCCGAGACTCGAGCAAACAAAATAAATACCCCACATTTCCTGAATGATGGATACCCCCTTGTGACAATTATTCTATCATTAATTCATCTTTCTAGTGTTCCCATCTGTTATATTTTCCCCCATCGTTCTTCCCTTTCTGAAACGCTCCCTCGGGTTCTCCCCCCCCCCCCCCCCCC